CGTCACATAACCACCTTGTTTTTCTACACTTTGAAAAGTCAAGTAACCGTCTTAACGTTATAGAGCTAGGAGCCAGCATTCTATCTCAAGCCGTCTGACCCAGAGGCTGAGCTGTTAGCCACACCAAATCTGCACAAGTGTTCAGAGGACGTTCCTAAGAAGTAAGAGAAAAATAAAATCTCTGAACTGACAGACGATCTCAGCTCTGCTCCCTCCTTTGCTACATTTTCTGTGAGCTTGAGCAAATTGCTTTTCTCATTTCCTTAAGTAGGAAATAAGGGAAGCTGAACTGGGTCTCAAAAACCTAAGTCTGATTCATAATCTATGTTCTAAACTAAAGGTGTCTGTAATCCTCCCCCATGTGGGATGTGCCCGGTAGAACATTTATTGGGACATCCAATGAAAATGTCTACACAATGATGATGAGGAGGAGGGTTATGAGTGAATGAATAAACGGAATATTTAACATTACCCTTTATAGAAGGTTGCCCGAGTCTAATGTTCCTAGATGGAGAAAGAGGGTTCTTGTCTCCCTTTTCAGTTTCAGTTGCTTTTTCCAGTTGGCCTCAAACCTTGCAGCATAAATAAATAAAGCCAGCTTTATCCCAGGCCTTTCTCTCAAGGCCCAGCTGTAGGCTAGGAGCAGAAAGTGAATATGCAGAGTGGCCAATTAGTTCACCTCATGACCTCTGATCCCTGCTGAGCCACCCCATCCATTAGCTGTCGTCTTCCCATCTACCCTCTTCTCTCAGTTTGAATCTTCGTCTTGCCTTTCTCTTTCAGCAAAGAAACACGCTCGAGCATTGGGCCAGCAGCTTCCACTTTCTGCTCCTTTGTCTCCTCCCCTGTGCCCTTGTTGCTAACCTGGTCACCACTCCCTGACCCTATAGCTCTCACCCCTCCTAGGGTTGAGAAGGGCAGTATTCCAAGCAGGGCTTGCTGGGAGAAGAAAGTAAGCTTCTGTGTTTTCTTTTCACTTGGGTTCCATTCCTCAAATGAATTTTGATCCAACTTCTTGTCACAAGAAGTTCCTGTAATGCTTCCTTTGGGATGGTGATGTTCTTCAAAGGCAACTGTTCTGAAAAGTCCATGTGGGTGAAGGCAGCAATAAGTTTCTTTGAGATGTTGGGGTATTCCTCTGTGGAAAAATATGCACATGTACACATACAAAATGGTCTTTAATAAGTTCGCGGAAAGCATGTATTATGGGGAAAGAATGCATGGATTTTTTCTTTTTTTGGACCAAAGTAAACTTGTACTTTAATTCCATTTTCCACAAACCTTTTGAAGTCTCCTCATGTATATATATTTTATATATTTTTTCCTATTGATCGAGAGGAGAAAAGCTAGTTGAAGGCAGAAGATTATGCACATGTGAGTGCATTTTTGTGAATAAATATAAAACAGAGTCAGTCTGTGGCCTGGGGGTTAAGGCAGCTGGATCCCACATGCCCATCTGTGCAGTTCAAATTCCAGACTTGGTGGCTTGAAAAACACACCTGGTGTGCATGTATATGTGCTCAAAATCCTGACAGGAGGGAGAAGTAGAGGAGAAGGAACAGTTGCTTAATTTTTCCAAGTGTCCGTTTGCTCATGTGTAGAAAAATAAGGTTATATAGATTAAGTGACACAAATCCAAGTGAGAAGTGACCCTTCCCTTCAGGAGGGGTACTTTCTCCCTTTTATTCTCTGTTTTTCTCTCTCTGCCATGTATACATGCCATCTGACAATTTTTCAAATTAAAAAAAAAAGCAATAATCAAAAAAAGAAAATCAACTAATTTTTATTACATTTGCAAAACTCTTTTGAAGTAGTAATAGCATCTGGCGGCAAGTTTATCAGAAAAGGGCAAGCCCCTGGGAGTCAGATCCACTGGATTTGATTCCAAGTCCTGCCACTGGTCAACTGGGTAACTTTTGGTAAATAATAGCTCCCACTTTTCTGTCTCTGTGCCATGACCTTATACACATCTCATTTCATCCTTATAATAATAAGTGAGATAGATATTATTATCAATGATCACTCTCACTTTACAAGTGAAGAAAGCCAAGAGAATTAAGTTATTTGCTAAGAGTTGTATAAATAGTAAATGGCAGAAATGGAACCTGAACAAGGTGTGTGTGACTCCAGAATTCTCAGGCCCCATGCTACACTTCCTCCAAAGTATAAGGTACATAAGTGATTTGGTCTTTACTTTTTTTTTTTTCTTGGAGAGGTTTTTTTTGCTATAGGGCACGTGCGCTCACCAGAAAGACAGAGACAGAGAGAAACAGAGAGACAGAAAGCGAGAAAATACTCCCTGGGGGGATGGCCACCCTGCAATCCCTTCTCCTCCATTCTCCTCTTGGGATCTTGGGCACATATGCACACACACCTGGCGTGAGTTTAAGCTGCCGGGTCTGGGATTTGAACCATGGTCGACTACATTACACCATCTACTGGTCCTGGTTTGGCCTTTACTGAGTTCTCATTTCCTCACCTGTAAAATGATCATTTGTAAAGCACCTAACAGGGGTGGCTAACAAGTGAATGCTTACTACATCCCAGGTACTCTTCTAAATGCTGACATACCTTATTATATTTAATTCTCATAAAGTCCCAATAAATAGAAACTGTTACCTCCATTTTATAGAGGAGAAAACTGAAGCTTAAAAAGGTTAAAAAAAAGGGACCAGCAGTTGGTGTAATGGCTATGTTGCTGGACTTCCATGTAGTCGACTGCAGTTTGAGTCCTGGACCAGGTGGCTTAAACTCACACTGGGTACATATGTGTGTGTACCCAAGATTCCGAGAGAAGAATGGAAGAGAAGGGAATGCGGCGTGGCCATGACCCCTGGGGGGTGATTTCTCACTTTCTGTCTCTCTGTCTCTCTCTGTTTTTCTAACGAGCACACATGCCCTATAGCAAAAACCTCTCAAAAAAAAAAAAAAAAAAAATAAAAAACAAAAAAAAAAAAAAAAAAAGATTAAAAAAAAAAAAAACTCATCTAGGTCAAACACAGCTACTGAGCTGGGATTCTGATTCAATCCTGTTTGGCTTCAAAACCCATTCTTTTTCCTCATTATGATTGCCTCAAAAAGATCTCCTGAAGAAGGTCTCTCTCTCTCTCTCTCTCTCTCTCACACACACACACACACACACACACACACACACACACGCGCACGGAGAGAGAGACTGAGCTACAGGAAATAGGGACAGAAAAAATTAATCCCAACTGAGGTTAATGGGGACAGCTTTATGGAGAATATAGAGATTCATTTAATAAAATTTCAGTTTAATACAGGAAAGGCTCTGAAATAACATCTTTTTCATCAAATTAGGTTCACCCTTATTACATACCAATGCTGCTGACAAAGCAAGGCAGGTTCTTGTCATGTCGTGCCTAATAAATACTGATAGTAAAGAGGGTACTGTCTCTCACTCATCTTGGTATTACTCTCCCCCTCCCTTTCTTTCACACCTTAGTACCACCTAAAACAGTGCCTTGCATGTAGTAGGAACTTGACAGATATTTTCCAAACATAGAACTGAATGATACTTCAGGAGGTCTGGGGAGTGCTGAAACTCCAAAGCTCAAACACCCTTTTTCTCTCATCTTTCTCCTTCCAACTCTACTGACAAGCCCACAGGCTGAGTGATAGGTGGCCACTGTACCAGAGCTGATTTATGGTTCTTTGTTATACAAATCCTTTCACATTCTCCTCTTTTTGCCAATTCATCATGATATTTAAAGGAAACTTTGAATAGGGAACTAGGGCTCACAGCCCTGAAGACAATTATTCAAGGTACCTTCCCTGGTATTCAGATCTGAAAAGAGCACACCTTCAAGATTATCTTAGCATTCCCTGCTTTTCCCAAGAAAAATACCTTTATTTTTAGAGAATCCCACTCAGTGGCCCTGAGCAGTGAAAAGGGGGCAATATTCTGTTAACTAGGATGGAAGGAGATCCTCTGTAATTGCTTCATAATTAAATGACAGGAGCGCCAAGAAAGATATGACCTAGGTTGCAGAATAACTTCTCTGTAAAGATGCCTCAGAGGTGTTTTACTCAATGCTCTGGAAACCCCAGCTCTGTTGTATCAATTGTCATCAAAATGATGATGGCAAAATAAAATGAAAATTTCTAGATGAAACATGTCATTAATATAAGCTGATGTTACATTAATAAAGTAAACCCTTTATCCCGATTCTAGGAGTGAAAAAAAAAAAAAAGCATTGCCTTCAGTCTGTCATTAAGTCTATTTAATCCCATTGTTCACGGGATATGACTATACACATGTTGTCATTGTCTTGACAGTGCCAGTACAGCCAGAACTCAGACTTAAATTCTTGTGCAAAAATCACACACACTAAATCTAATACAAGGTGAGGTAGAAATGGGTACTTTTGATTGGATTTACTATTATATATCTCATCTAACTTTGGCTGTTAGATACTAAGTACATGACTTTTTTTAATAACCCAAATGAGTAAATGATGCCTTCTAATTTCCTACTGCATGATGCGAAATAAACTTGTTGCTTCTCACTGTGTCTCATTTTTTCTTTCCAACCCATCTCCTTAAAAATAACTAACCTCATTAGTTTCTGGTTTAGTCTTCCTGTTTCCTTCACCCCTCCCATTGGGACGCTGGGCATGTTCCCCAAGCCACTGTGTTCAGGACTCAAACCATGGTACTGGCCAAGTGGGACCCAGCTGCCACAATGACCATGCCACCAGTTAGCCTATTTTTCATTCTTTTTTTACAGATATATATACTCTACCATGTGCTTGTACTGTAGTTTATTCAACCTTTCCACTCTGTGTGGACATTTAAGTTGTCTCCATTATTTTGCAAATACAAACAATGCTGCAATAAATAACCTTCCTAAGCAGTATTTGATTTTCTATGTATCTATTTAATTGGCTCATAGTTCCCAGAGTAATTATTTATCAAAATAATGGGAAGAAAAAAGATCCCTTAGCTCTGAGAAGCAACGGATACATAAGGATGGGGCACATTCTGCCTGTGGGAATGGTCAGGGACATACTATTTTTACATCTCTAAGGAGGAGGTATTTCCTCCCAGCAGAGTTGATGATCTGAAGTTGCTAGAAACATGATGAATAGTGAAGGGAGCTGGTCTGCTGGTGCAACGGGGCTGGTTAATTATACTGTAAATCATGCAAACACCGACAGGTTGAACAAAAAGGCTTCTCTAGACATCTTCTCAGTAAGAACCGTTCTTGAAAACCCAGGCGATTGGTGATTCTCTCAGACTGAAAATACAGAAAATGCTGACATGAACACCTAGAGATGCAGAGGCGCTTTATGGCTTTGATGTCTGTGAGGCATTTGAAAAATGCTTTCTAAATATGATTGGACACTCTTGATTAAGCATTTTAGGAGTAAGGACAATTAACTCCCACCCCCCACAGTCTATGCTCAGCACTATAACATTATTCGGGAGTTTTATCATTTGTGTCTTTCTTTTGGGAGGAGTTTAGGATGGACGAATAATTCTCTACCCTTTGGAAAGGTAAATGATTCATTTGGAAAATCTTTGTAGGATTTAAGGTTTCACAGAGGTAGATCAAAGATAGGAATTAGCCTCTGCTCCATTGCTGACCAATAATGTCAACAAATCCTCCCTTGCCCCTATGCTTTTTCCACTATTAAAGCAAAGGAATCTGTCTATGAAACAAATATTGAGATTTTACAATATGTGCTTTACCATTTATACTTTGAGAAGATGGTGTCTGCCAGGTTTCTCCCCTGTAAATGTACTAATTTTGTTTTTGAAATTAGTAAATACTGTGGGTCATATATTGTGACTATGTAAATAGCCTGTTTCTCATATGTGGCAAAGGGTTTCATGAAGAGGGCTCAGATTCACAACAGGGCTCCTTACTATATCTGCCTAAATATGGTTGTTTTAACCACCTCATGCCAGATAGTCTAGATGTGAAGAAAATCAAGTTTCCTTAGTAATTTACTTGGCATCAGTAACGCGAGACAATGTAGCCTTGTTTAAAGAGCCCAAGCTTCGGAATAACACAGACTGTGTTCAAAATCCAGCATGGCTACTTGTTATATGCGACACAGGCTACTTAATGTCTCTATGCCATAGTTTCTGCCTCAGAAAAAAACGGAAATAATAGCAACCTCAGTTAGCTATTGTGAGAATTCAGTGAGACGATATAATCTGAAAAATACCCAGAACTCCATGTGCCATACAGTAGGCACTGAATAAATGGTGGCTATTAATAAATAATTCTGAAGATGTTATTTTGATTCGTTTTGAACCCTGATGAAAATCTGCCATATTATATACCTCTATTGTTGATCCAGGCTTAGATCAGAGCTAATTTACAAAACAGAAAAGCATATCCTCTTTGTAAATTCTCTCCAGGAAATGAAACTGTGAGTCCGTGGACCCGGAGTTCATACCAGACCTTTTCACTTCAGTGCTGACCGTCTATCCATTTAGAGGCCAGCAAGATGATGTCACAGCCCTTTATTCCGATAAGGCTGGAGTGCCACCATGAGGTCAGCTTTGGTCCTGGTGAGATTTACCTGAATTCTGGCTTGACTGCCAAAATACTTGAATGTTCCATTTATATTATGTTATATTTGCAATAAAGCCTGAAAAATACACTATTGATTCACCAAGGGGGGAAAAAAAAGGATACACAAAGTATAAGAATTTGGATTTTTTAAGCACTTGATTTGTATTTCTTAAGTGCTTGAGTATTGGTAAATCTTGACAATTTGAAATAGAAAATTTAGCCACAGGGAAAGCAAGGTTTTTATCTCTAAATGGTTATGGGGTTTGTTGTCTAAAGCTAATCACCTTCTCTTAAACTTACATTTTAATAAAGACCCCGAAGCTATGTTCTAGAAGTTTCTAACTCCATTTATATATGTATATTTAAAAAGTCTCTATTTCCAAATAGCTCTCAGAAGCTCCACTCAGGTGTCCTTGGAGAAATCTCAAATTCAACCTGTTCAGAATTAAACATATTACATTGCCCTGAAGTATTTCCCATCTCCGTGAATAGACCCATCCTTACCCAGGTACCTGAGTTTGAGACCTGGGAATTACTTTAGGTTTCTCCTTCTTGCCCTGTCTTCTCGCAACCAGTCACGTTACCTCCTTAATGTCCTTTAGATCTGCTGCTTTCTCATCTTCCCAATGCTACTGCCTTCTTCCCTTACTAGACTGCTATGGCATTATTCTCCTGGTGTCCTTGACTTGAGACTTGTCTCTCCTCCATGCCGCTGTAACAGAGATCTTTTAAAATTAAAAACTGTTTCTATCACTGGCTTAGCATCAGTTAATGGGTCTCAGCATCTACAAGATCAAGTCCAAGTGTATACAGAGGCCCTCACAAGCTAGTCCTTGCCCAACTCCTGAGTGTGCACAGAGGCCTTCACAAGCTAGTCCTTGCCCACCTGTCCAGATCCATCTCTTGTGGCATTATCCACTAGATAATGGAACCACTAGAAGATCCCCAAACACAACATAGGCTGTTCTCATGCCTCCTTACATTTGTGGCTGCTCTTCCCTCACCTTAAAAATCTTGATCTATCTTGGGACCAGCAGTTAGCATAATGGCTATGTTGCTGGACTCCCATGTAGTTGACCGCGGTTCGAGTCCTGGAACCGGTGGCTTAAACTCATGCCAGGAACGTGTGCATGCGTGCCCAAGATCCCAAGAGGAGAATAAAGGAGAAGGGATTGTGGCATGGCCATCCTCCAAGGGGGTGATTTCTCACTTTCTGTCTCTCTCTCTCTGTCTTTCTGGTGAGTGTACGTGCCCTTTAGCAAAAACCTCTCCCAAAAAAAGGGAAAAAAAAATCTTAACCTATCTTGGGACCAACAGATGGTGGAATGGTTACATTGCTACATCCCACATAGTTGACCACAGTTTGAGTCTTGGACCCAGTGGCTTGAAACTCATGCCAGGCACATGTGCCTGCGTGCCCAAGAACCCAAGAGGAGAATAGAGGAGAAGAGATTGTGGCTTGCCCATCTCCTCTGGGGGGTTATTTCTTGTTTTTTGTCTCTCTACAGAACATATTGTCCTATAGCAAAAATCTTTCTTAAAAAAAGAAAACTTAACCTATCTTATCTAATTGGTCAGCATCTTTTCTGTTTCTTTTTAATTTTGCCAGAGTGTGCATGTGTGTGCTAGAGAAAGAGAGACAGAGAAAGTAAGAAAGCACCATCCCAGTGGAGAATGGCCATGCCGCAATCCCTTCTCCTCAACCTTTCCTTCCTTTGAGGATTTTGGACATGCACACACATGTATCTTGTGTGTTTTTCAAGCCACCAGGTCTAGTATTGACCATGCGGTTGGCCAAGTGGGATACAGCTGCCTTAACCACCATGTCACCAGCTGGTCCACCATCTTATTTTTTAAGACTATGTAAGCTTTACTTCTCTACATAGCCTTTCTAACTTCCACAGAGCACAACCCATTCCACTACCACCGATCAGTTACTCCTCACTTTCTATAACCTATACTACAGTGCCTAGAGAATTTTCTTGCTTAGTCCAAAAAGAGTTCTCTATCCCCAGTAGATCCTCGGGTACTTGAGAGCAAGGACTGTGTCTAAATCATTTCTGTATCCCAAGGGCCTAGTCCATATCAGACACACTGTAAAAACAACAATAACAAAACTTGTTGGATGACAAGCAGGAAGTGGAGGAGAAAAAGTTTTCAAAAACATACTTTTAGGCATGGGGTGATCATTCTGTTCACAACAAGTTATCCCAACTATCTCCCATTGCAGAGTTAGAGACTTTGTGTTCTCATTTGCTACAGTTGAGAAACCATGTGTGTCTACCAGTCAGACCCTACCGGTTTTTAGAGAAATTCCAGTTATACAAAACCATGATTCAATTTCCTCACTACTTTCATTGACGATGCTTTTAAATAGTTTTGTTTTGATTTTTCCTTAAGAGGAAATGGTCTCTTAATGAGTCAACTGGAAACTGTCAAGGTAAGAAATGGCATAAGCCTGACACATTCATTTGTCTTCATTTATTCTTTCAAAATATGTGACTAAGCATCAAGAGATAGGTTAATTCCTAAATTCATTCTAGCAATTTCAGGGATCTTTATTTTATTTTACTTAATTAATTCCACAAGATTTACTGATCATTGACTATGAAACAGACTGTATGTAAAGCAAATACAAAGATAAACAAGATGTAGATCCATCCCTAACCCCCAGCCTTCAGCCAACCTGTGATCCTGAGCACACCTAGGCCCAGCATACTCAGGAATATCTCCAAACATGGACTGGGAACCTTCCTATGTGGGATTGCCTCACAGAGAGTCACAGAACATCACATTTACTGCTGTGCCACCATCTGACCCCACATTAAATTTTTTTAGCTGATATAATCATTGTACATATTTATAGGATACAGTGTGATTTTTCAGCATATGAATACAATGTGTAATGATCAGATGGGGATAGTTAGCACATTCATCATCTTAAACATTTGTCATTACTCTGTGTTGGGAACATTCAAAATCCTCTTTTAGGAACCAGCAGATGGCATAATGGTCATGTCGCTGAACTCCCACATAATCCACTACAGTTCAAGTACTGGATCTGGCAGCTTAAAAGTCACACCAGGCACATGTGCATGCATGCCCAAGATCCCAAGAAGAGAATGGAGGAGAAAGGATTGTGGTGTGGCCATCCCCCCGGGAGTGATTTCTCACTTTCTGTCTCTTTGGCGAGTAAATGTGCCCTATAACAAAAATATCTCTCTCTCTCTCTCTTTCTCTCTCTCTCTCTCTCTCTCTCTCTCTCTCTCTCTCTATATATATA